AGCTAAATCCAGAAATTCTCAAAATTCCAGAAACTCCAGAACATCAAAAAAATCCAGACATTCAAGATGTTCCAGAAATTCAGAAAGTCATAGGAATTCCAAAAAAATTACAAATTTCTGGAAAATCTTGAAATTCCAGAAATTCCCCAACTTCCAGAAATCCTAGAAATTCCAGCAATTCCAGAAATGCCAGACCAGACTTTCCAGAAATTCCAGACATTCCAAAAAAATCCAGACATTCCAGAAATTCCAGAAATCCAACAGATATTCAGAACATTCTTGGAATAGGGAAAGAGCGAGGTGAGTGGCGCATTGTCAGTAGTGCGTCGTGAGTATATCTGAGTAGTGCGTTGTGAGTATATCCAGAAAATCCCGACATTCCAGAAATCGCAAAATCCCGGAAGTTTCAGAAATCCAATAGGTCCTCAGAAAAGCAGGGCCGTGAGTAGAGAGTAGGGGATACGGAGCGAGTCTTTGGCCGCGAGTAGAGAGTAGGGGATAGGGAGTGGGGAGTAGGGAGTAGTGAGTCGTGAGTCGCGGGTCGTGAGTAGTGAGTGTGTAATTCTCAGTAGGGGGTAGCGAGTAGGGAGTAGCGAGCAGCGAGTTGCGAGCAGCGAGTTGCGAGTAGGGAGAAGGGAGTAGCGAGTTGCGAGCATCGAGTTGCGAGCAGGGAGAAAAGTAGGGAGAAAGGAGTAGCGAGTAGCGAGTAGCGAGCAGCGAGCAATGCCTGGCTCCAGGAATTCCTCTGAATAGCGGCGCCGGCCCCGGCCTCGTCACCAGGGTGTAGTGAGTGCTGAGTAGTGAATACTGAGTAGTGGGTCGTGAGTGGTGCGTATTGGGTGGTGCGTAGTGGGTGGTGGGGTAGGGGTCGGGTTCCGGAGCCAGAGGCCCCGTTTTCCAAGGGAGGGAGGGGGGCCTAAGATGCCCCCCAAGACGGGCCCAAGAAGATTCCAAGACTGCCCCAAACGCTTCCCGAACGCCCAAGATGGTCCCCAGACGTCATGTGGCGAGTTTTGCTTGTCGATGCCTTCTTGGCGGTCCTCTGTAGCCGTTTTGGCCGAAACATTTCGCCAGGCGTAGCCATTGGCAAGGGCAATAGCCCCAGGGCGACGGTGGCCCGCGACCCGCACCGGAATTTCGTGCCTTGCCGGGACCTTCGGGCGCAGGGACGCTGTCCAGCGAGCCCTTCGGGAGGCAGTCGACGGCCTGGCGGCGGACTGTTTTGCGAGGATCTTCGCGGCCGCTGTGGCTCGCGGGCTGGCTGCCGCAGGCTACGCGGCTCCCAGCGCTTCGGGGGTGCAGCGTGGTCGTGCGTTGCAGCGGTGGGGCGTGGCGGCGGGCACGCGCCGCGGGGTGTTCGGGGGTCCGGCTCGGTCTGCTCGGGTGTTCTTCTGCGTTGTGCGGAAGCATTGCGACGTGGACTTCCACGCGGAAGGCGGCAAGGCGGACGTCGCCCTCTGCCACTTCGCTCTGCGATGTGCCGCGCGCCCTGGGGGCGGCATCGCGGGCGTGACCCCTGGCCGCGTGCCGACGGCTTTCCTGGGCGACCCGGGCATGAACGGGGCGGCGTGGCCCAAGAGCTACTGGAAGGCCCTCGTCGCGGAGCCGGGGGTTCGGCGAGCTGCGTGGGCAGGCGTCGTTTCCGAGAGCCACGCGGTTCGGGGGTACAACGTCGACGTTGGCGGCGGGGAGGCGGCGCACTTGCGCGTTCAGGGCGGCCGCAGGTGGAGGGGAGCTGGCGCCGCGCAAACGGGCGCGAATCCCTCCCAGAGGGCTGGCGGGCCACGACGCCAAGGGGCGCGTCGCGCTTTGCGAAGTATCCCGTAGCCTTCGGCGCTGCCCGTTTTTTTTTGTTCCCCCCCCATCCCTCTCTCTCTGTCTCTTTCCTTTCCCTCTCTCTCTCTCTCTCCCTCTCTCTCTCCCTCTCTCTCTCCCTCTCTCTCTCTCTCTCCCTCTCTTTCTTTCTCTCTCTCTCTCTCTCTCTCTCTCTCTCTGTCTCTTTTTTTATTTTCCTCTCTCTCTATGTCTTTCCTCTCCCTCTCTCTCTCTCTCTCTCTCTCTTTATCTCTTTATTCTCCCTCTCTCTCTCTCTATCTCCCTCTCTCGTTCTCCCTCTCTCTCTCTCTCTTTCTTTATTTCTCTCTCTCTCTCTCTCTCTCTTTCTCTTTCCCTCTTTTTCGTTTGGTTCTCTCTCTCTCTCTCTGTTCCTCTCTCTCTCTCTCTCTCTCTATCCGTCTCTCTCTTCTTGGTGTTGCTTTTTTGGTTGTTTCGTTTTCCCCCTCCTCTTCTCCTCCTCTCTCTCTGGGGCCGCGTCTGCGGCCTCGTCTTGTTGTTTTTTTTAGAGTGCTTGTTTTTGCTGTTAGGTTTGGTTCAGAGGTTGTGTCGTTATGTGGTTCGTTCTTGCCGGGGCTGTCTCTGGCGCTGCTTCTCTTATTCGCATGCCGCATATCGCTGTTGTTGTCGGGCATGGGCGTTGTGGATGTTTTCTCTAGGGTAGATTTGGTCCACTCGTATTGCTGGGGCTTGTTTGGTCCATTGCTTTGCTAGGGCCTGCTTTGTCGGTGGCTTTGCTGGGGGCCATTTGGTCCGATGCCGTCTCCTAGGGTATATTATGCGAGGGCTTGTGTGGTCAATGGCTATGCCAGGGCTTACTTAGTTTGTGGCTTTGCCTGGGGCTATTCGGTCTGATACCTTCTCCTGGGTTCCATTCGGTCTACTCGTTTTTTTCTTTGCTAGGGCCTTCATAGTATGTGGCTGTGCTAGGCTTTCTTCGGTCCGGCGCCCTATACTTGGGCAGGCTTGCCCAATCTTTTTGCTAGGGATTATGTGGTCAATGGTTTTGCTAGGGCCTACTTAGTATGTGGATTTACAAAAGGGGTTGTTTAGTCGGATGCCCTGTCCTAGGGTACATTCGGTCCAATCGTTTTGTTTTCCCAAGTTCATTTGGACAATTACTGTGCTAGGGCCTACTCAGTCTGTGGTTCTGATTAGGTTTTTTTGCGCCGATGCCTTTTTCTTAGGGTAGATTGGGACCAATTTCTTTGCTAGGGCATTTTTTGTCCATGGCTTCGCTAGGACCTACATAGTACGTGGCCTTGCCAGGGTCTGTTTCGTGCGAGTCCTACGGTATATTTGGTCCACTCCTCCGTGCTAGGGATTATTTGGTCCATGGGTTCGCTAGGGCCTGCTCGGTCTGTGGCTTTGCTATGGCTTATTTGGCCCGATGCCTTTTCATGGCGCATATCTGGGCCAACCGTTTTGCTAGGGCATGTTTGGCCCATGGCTTTGACACGGGTTTCTTAGTCTGTGGTTTTGCTAGGGCTGGCCCGCTCGTGCTGCTGGGGCCTGTTTGGTCAATGGCCTTGCCAGGGCCTACTTAGTCTGTGGCTTTGCTAAGTCTTATTTGTTATAGTGCCTTTTTCCCAGGGTATGCTTGATCAGATGCAGTTGGCAAGGGCATATTTGGTCCCTGGCTTTGCTGGGGCCTACGGAGTCTGCGGCTTCGGTGGGGTTTGTTTGGTCCGATGCATGCTCCCAGGGTGTCTTTGGAGGACCGGTCGTGTTGCTATTGCAAATGTGTCCCATGGATTTGCTTGGGGATTTCGTTAATGGTTTTGCTAGGATCTATCTAGTCCGATGCCTTTTCGTCGGGTATGTGTGGTATATTTTCTGCGAGGGCTCAATTGGCCCATGGCTCTGCTACGGCCTAGTTGGCCCTATGCGCTGCCAATGCTGATATTGTCGCATGCGTTTTGCCAGGTCCTGTTTGGCCCATGGCTTTGCTAGGGCCTACTTGGCCCGGGGCTTTGCCAGGGCCTACTTGGTCCAATGCGGTGATTCCTAAAATACGCGTTTCGCTTGGAACTTCCTCGCCAGATCGTGGAATTGAGGGTCGTACTTTGAGACGCCTTATGCTAAACATGGGCGTTTCGCATGAGACACCCTCGATGTCCGAATCATCGTCTGAACGTTTCGCCTGAATTCGACGTCCTAATTTTCGAATCGTTGGAAGTTGTAGCTTCGCATGAGACATGCTCGAAAACATTGGATCTGTAAAGGGCTGTGTTCTAGCATTCAAGATGGCCGAATATAGGGGGAGCGGCACCCTCATGAGGGAGGAGGGGGGGAGAGTAGGAGGGGGAGGAACTGGGGGAGTAGAATGGGGGAGGAGGAGGGGGAGGAGGAGGAGGAGGAGGAGAAAGAGGAGGAGGAGGAGGAGGAGGAGGAAGATGAGAAGCAGTGGGACAAGGAGGAGTATAATGAAGAGGATGATAAGAAGGAGGAGGAGGAGGAGGGAGAGGAGGAGGAAGACGAGGAAGATGAGGAGGAGGAGGAGGAGGAGGAGGCGGAGGAGGAGGAGGAGGAGGAGGAGGGACGGCGAGGGAAGGGGAGGAGGAGAAGGAGGAGGAGGAGGAGGGGGGGGAAGGAGGGGGGAAGGAGGTGGATGAGGAGCAGTGTAAGCCCAACATCCATGAACGATGCTAGTATCAGCCCCCTTTCCAAGCTCCCTATTCATAGGACCCTACAAGGACGCATTTCCACTCAGACGAGTGAGCCGTTGGGAGAGAAGCATTTGAAGGTCCTGACCCATTCCAAAACACCCTTATCGGAATTTCAACGCCACGAATTGAATTGACTGTTTCATCTTGACGCTCCGGAATCTTGCCAGAGCACCATCCCTGAGACTCGAGCACCGCGAATCAACGCACCAGCCACGCCTTTGCAATCCTTAATCGCTTCAGCACGCGACTTCACCATGAATAGTCGTGGAAGGACGAGTGTGCGCGGCACCAAGGCGAGAGCCACATTTTCAAAAGGGACCGCCCTCCATCCGTGAAGCTCTTGCGACTGTTCAAGACGAGCGTGTGCGCAGCGCTAGGGCGAGAGCAACGTGCCGAAAATGATCCGCCGTCAATAGCTGGAGTTCTTGCTATACTTAAGACGGAGGTGTGCGGCGCTGAGGCGAGAGCCACATGTTGAAAACCAGCGGTTGCGCGCAGGAGGCCGACGAGCAGCGCGGCATGGCCCACATGATGGAGCACGTCTGCTTCCTGGGCAGCCGGCGGCGCGAGGTCCTGCAGGCGGGGGGGGGGCTCGCGTGAAGACACGGGTGCTTCAAGGAGGGTGCCTGCCCTGGAGAAATCGACGGGCGCCTGATGGCCAAGCATCTGGACGGAAACAATGCTGAAGTAGAAAAAACGCCATAAACATGAACCGTTGGCGCTCCGCGCGGACTTCTTGGATCCGCGCTGGCCCCCTCGGCTGCGCCTCCGGCGCCGCCCCTGGCGCGTTCCTCGCGCCAGGGAGGGGGGTCCAGCGCAGATCCAAGAAATCCGCGCGGAGACCCAACAGTTTATGTCCATGCCGTTTTTTTCTTATCTATACTTGGAGTTGCCCAACGATTTTCATTGATATTTCTTGCGTGAGTATTGCCAGTTGAGGGCTGCTAGGGGGATGGAGCCCCAAGTGCAGCCATACTTTGGACTTTCAAGACAGTCCCCATGCTCTGAGCCCGCACGGCACCGACCGTGGGGCAGCCCATCCTGGTATAGCCGCGGTTCTGGCGCTGGGTGTGGTGCGTCCCTCGCACTGCCTACCAGCCACCCTTGCGGTGGTTGAGGCGTGCGAGGCGGACATTTGGCGAACAAGATACAAGATACGGTCGGACCGAGGTTTATGATCGAGGTCGGTTCGGAAGGATACCCTACTGTCCTTCGTGTTTGTCGGTTGTGCTTGTGCATCCTGGGGGAGGGTACCCTCGAATGCTCTTCAGCTTGGCCAGCGGAGGGTCTACAGTGGGGGCGCGCATCAAGAGACCACATGCTTTGCGTCAGGATATCCTGGATCTCTTCGCTCCGCGCGCTGCGCGGTAACTTCCCGGAGCCATTGGAGAAGTTGTTGCGTGTATGGTGTTCTGGGTTCCCCCCCACATGTACCTCGCGCGAGGGTTTTCAGTGCTGGGCATCTTGCGAGGGGCTCTTGCGGCCGCGCCCGCACTGTAAATGTTCTTGGAGGATGTTCTTCTGTCCTAGGTCTGGCCCTACAACCGTAGACGCGCTAACGGTGTGTTAGTACACGGCGAAGTAGGACAACCAATTGTAGGAAGGCGTGGTCCGTGGCCAAACCAATTGTAGGAACGCGTGGTTCGCACTTTCCCACAACTCGCTGCGTCGTTTTCGCTCGATATATTCGCACACTTGAAATGTAGGAAAGTGCGGTTCGTGATGTCCTACAATTTGTTCTGCGCGAGCTCGGCGTCACAAAAGTCGGATTCCCAACCTCGCCGTTAACAAATATCGCCGTTACCGCTGCCTTGGTACAAGATGAAGACTGGCAGCATTCACTTTTTCACGTGCACTACATGACTTGCAATACAATGCTTCAGCACAATACATTTGCAATACAATTGCCCCAAATCTATTGCACCACCCCCTTTCAGCTGAACCTCCTTTAAGGTGTGCTTGAAGCTACGGAGAAAGACTCTGAATTCTCAGTAGATTTGCGAACAGCAATGCGCGCATTCGTCGCAGATTCGATGGGGAAGATCACTTTTGGGGTGAATCAATTCTGCAGTCGATCTCTTGCTCGAGGGATCGGTTGCATGCAGCTGGTGCCAGAGCCCCCCCCACCCTTTGCGATCCCCCCCTCTCGTCCGCCCCGATTGCCCTCGGGGAGCTGGGGAGTTGACCTGCCGCGGGGCGTCACAAGAGTACAGGCGGGGCGCTGACGGAGGGATCTTCTTCGTTTGGGAGGGGCTTCGTGTTCCTTAGTTGTTTTGCAGTTTGTCTTGGGTTGTCATTTGGCTTCCGATCGGAAATTGAAGCTTAACCTAGGGAAAAAGAGGGGCCTCGTTCCTTATCAAGTCAACGCCCCGACTGTAGCTACACATGCAAGGGTTCACGCGAATCTTTCGGATCTGTTTTGGTCCATCCTGGCGGCATCAAGCGGTGGTATACGCACACGTCTCTGCACGCACCCCCGGCGGCGCCTCCTGCGCCGTCCCTGGCTCGCTTCGCGCACTGGGGCCAAGGGCGGTCCAGCGCCGAACGACGATAAATCAATGCGGAGCCCCGAAAGTTTGCAGCACCGTTTCTCAGAGGTGGACCTAATCGGTGTTTGGTGATTTCGTGGGCCGTTTTCGTTTCGATTTCGTTTCGCGGCAATGGAGAATCGAAGACCAAACGAGGGAAAACGGAAACAAAACGAGAACGAAAAACATTGTTTAGGTTCAGCTTTGCCGTTTCTTATGAAAGAAAATCTTGGGAAGGCTTGTCCAAGGGGGGTCGTCTGCAGGGGTTGGCCAGATCCCCGCTCGGTTGTCCAAGGGGTTGTCCAGGGTAGGTCGTCCTGTCGTCATGGGGGATGTTTGGGGCTTGTTCTTGATTGGAAGATTTGTCATTTGAACATCGTAGGTCGAATTTCGTCGTGGCCGAGACAGAAGCCGAGTCGTTCTTTATCTGGCGTTCCCTACTGTAGCACGATCATAGGTGTTTGTTTTAAACTTCGACTTGGCATCTGCTTCACACGTAGGGTCGCGCGCAGAGTGCCTGACTTCCAGGCGGTTTGCCTTGACAGCGGTCTGCGTGAGTTATTCGTGTGACGTCGCCACGCCATCATGCGCAGATGGTGTGCTTCTTCGTCATTCATCTTGTGCCAGATTCTGTCGGACGCTCGAGAGAAGAAGAGTTGGAGGACGGCCAAAAGGAGGAGGAGGAGGCGATATGAAGAGGAGGGGAGATATGGAGGAGGAGAGGCGGGGACGAGGAGAAGAAACCATGAGGGGGGAGGAGGCATGAGGGGGCGGAGGACATGGATGGTAAAGGGGGAGCAGGCGCGCGCTTTGGGAGGGCTGAGCGGCCCCTGTCCTTGAGAAGCCCAAGTTCCTGCCTCCAGGAAAGTCAGCTCAGGTCAGGGCCGTTGCTTCTGACCCGACGGACACGAATGGCGTGCGATCTGATGTGCCGTTCTTGTGAGCTGCCGCCGTTACTCCCTCGCGGGTGGTCTCGAAGCCCCCGCCCCCCCCAGTCAGGGCCAGGGCGCGGGTGTCACGAGCAACGCCTTGACGGACTTCCAGCACACCGTGTACCACCTGAATTTGCCAAGGACCCACATGAGACATCTATACATCACCCCACCACCTTGCCTGGCCAGGGCCATTCTTTCGTCCCACGATGGCGCGCAGCCAAGGCTGTTGGAATAAAGCACAGTTCAGGTTCGGAATAGACCCGCTGTTCCTTAAGGCCTTCCATGGTCGTTGTCCTTGCGCTCCTCGTGCGCCCAGGCGCTTTGGGGGCCAATGCGGGGCGTCGTTCCTCGTGTAGCGTCACTTCTGGTAGAGGGCTGACTGTTTAGGCCTCCTTGCCTGTGCAAGGAGTGCAGATGCACCTTGCCACGAGGGCGTGTGAACTCTGGCCAGGCACGGTGGTGGTGCACAGATGCCCCGGTGCGGTGCGCAGGAATTGCCTCGCCGAGGGGCTCGAGGTCCTGGCCGAGGTCGGCTTCGCGCCCGAGTTCCGGCCCGAGCGCATCGAGAAGGAGCGCGCCGCGGTCCTGAGCGAGGCGCAGATGGTGAACGACTGCAACTACCGCCTGCAAACGCAGATGCTGGGGGCCATGTCGGCGGCGCGCTCGAGGAGGTGGCGCGAGGGGGGGGGCGTCCTTCCAAGATGAAGGCGGGGAGCTTCTTCGAAGACAGGAGCCTTCGAGGCGACTCCCAAGTGCTTCTAAGAAGCCTTCTCAGAGGCTTGGGGGCTTCTGACAGGCCACCTGCCTTGTTAGAGTGCCGCCTTCCCAGAAGACCGGCCCTCTCGCGGTACCCCCTCGCGCGTGCCGCCAAAATCCACTCCGAGAACGGGATCAGCCAGCGCTTCCCCATCGGCCTGGAGAGCCAGATCGCGCGCTGGACGCGCGACGAGCTTCTCGCGTTCCACAGGAAGTGGTACGTCCCCGAAAACGCCACTCTATACATCGTCGGCGACGCTCCCGCGGACGAGGTGGAGAAGCAGGTGCGGGCCGCCTTCGGCGGCTTCCAGGCCTCCGCCCCGCTCTCCGCGGAGCCCTGGGCCAGGGACGTGCTGTCCGCCTTCCGGCCTCCGGCGCCCGACCGGCCAGTGATGCTGCACGATTTCGTGCAGCCGCAGGGCGAAATCGGCGCGGACAGGACCCGGGCGGCGCCACCACCACCACCACCACCACCACCATGACGACGACGACGACGACGACGACGACGACGACGACGACGACGACGACGACGACGACGACGACGACGACGACGACGACGACGACGACGACGACGACGACGACGACGACGACGACGACGACGACGACGACGACGACGACGACGACGACGACGACGACGACGACGACGACGACGACGACGACGACGACGACGACGACGGCGACGGCGACGGCGACGACGACGACGACGGCGGCGACGACGACGGCGACGACGACGACGACGACTGCTTCACCGATCTTGGCCAGACTCATCCTGGGCTCAGCATCGGGCCGGCCAGGATCGGCGGGGTGGTCGGCGGACGTCGCCCCGAAGGATGTTGTCAGCCAGGCGCAGGTGGGCCACCGAGCTGGAGGTGTCGGTGGCCACGAATGACCTCCTGCAGGGGATGCAGATCTGCTGGGCCGCCAAGGCGTTATGATGTTTCAACTTATTTTCGCCTTGATCACCAGAAAGAATTTCGAGCACCAAGAAAGTTCCGAAACCGAAGGGGTTTTCAAGTGTCGGGCCCTGGGGGGCGATACTCGTTCGACACGGTTTCAATATTCTTCTGAGTGCTCAAAATTATTTTGGGGATGTGGTCCGTAAGTACGATGGGAGCAACATCAGCCAAGGCGCCCATGCGGCTGGCGCGCTCCCTCGACGACCTGGGCGTGTGGCTCTGCACGCGCCTGGTCGTGGAGGCGGTGCGGCTGCGGCTGCAGTCCAAGTGGAGCGCCAGTTCCGTGCCCTGCAGCTTCCACATCCCGAAGAAGAAGAACAGCTGCACAAACATGATTGTTTCGGAGGTCCGCGCGGGTTTCTTAGGTCGGCGTTGGCGCGCGCCCTGCGCCGAGGAGGGTGGTCCAGCGGGCCCCAGGCCTGATGGGTTTGGAACGTTTTCTGCCCTCTTCCATCCTCGCTGCCCTTTCCTTCATCCCTCTTTTTCCTCCTGTAAGGGCTTGGGCGGGATCCCAGTACAGTCACGACTAATAGAAGCCAGATAGAGATTGCAAGCTGGGAAACATTTCTCCTTACGCCACACCAAGGCCCAAAGAACAACCGAAATACAAACGAAACCGTCAACGCCAAACCCTATCCTCCTCTGCGGACATGTGGTCCAAATGCCCCCCGATAGAATTGTAAACGGACTGGCGCCTGCGGAGGGGGCCGCTAGGGTGATCCACTCTTTTCATTAAAATTTTATAAGGGAGAATGGATGGAGCCTGGTTTGGGCGATAATGTCTGGGACGTCCTCAAAATGTGCCTGGTTTGGGCCCTGGTTTGGCATCGTTTGGCATCGTTCGGCCTGGTTGGGCGGCGCGCCCTGCCTGAGACATCCTCACAATTTGCATGGTTTGGGCCCTGGTTGAGCCTGGATTTGGCTCAGTTTCGCTTGAGACGTCCTTGCAATTTGCTTGGTTTGGCCCTGGTTTGGCCTGATTTGGGCACGGTTTCGTTTGAAACACCCTCACAATTTGCATGGTTTGGCCTTGGTTTGGTTTGGTTTCGCTTGAGACGTCCTCACCATTTGCCTGGTTTGGACTTGTTTGGGCCCGGTTTCGCTTCAGACGTTCTCACCATTTGCCTGGTTTGGCCCTGCTTTGGCATGGTTTGGGCACTGTTTCGCTTGAGACGTCCTCGCAATGCGCTTGGCTTGTGTGTTGGTGTTCGCTGGGTTTCGCCTGATACGTCCTCACACTGTGGATGATTTGGCAAATTCGAAGGCGTCCTTCGCTTGGACGTCCTCCTGGGTTGGGGGCAGTGTCGGCGCGGCTGTGGACAAGCGTCGCCTGCGGGGCGGGGTCTTTGAACTGTCCATGGTTCGACCTGTCCCCCAGAGGGGGTGGCGCCGCCTCCCCCCAGCACGCCCCCCTCCTGAAATTGGGAAGCGCCGCCCTGGGGGCCTCTCCTTGCTTCAGGGAGAGCGGTCGGCCAGACCGAGACTAGCCAGCGATGAGGCGAGAGCCAAGGACCAATGAGTGGCCAGCATTCGGGCGAGAGCGCACGTCAGCGTCGTCGTCGTCGTCAAATGAATCGTCATCGTCGTGGTCGTCATCGTCGCCGGGGGCCCTGGACGCTCCGAGACACATTGTGCTTTGTCACGTGGTTCACAAAAGTGGAGATGTCATTCATTTGCGTGGTGGGCGGAAGCATTCGTGACGATATGACCCCATTATTGTGCGACCCGTGCAACAGGCGAAGTAGGCATGGACATCGAAAGCGCAGTGTGTTCGGCCACTGCATCACATAGTGCAACCATCGATCACATAATTCCTGCTGCTATGCGGCATTGGGCCCTGTTGCGGCGTTTGGAGAAAACCTTTTCCAGCCTTATCAGGCTCGGAAGCATTTCTCCTTACGCCACACCAGGGCCCCGACAACAATCGAAAAACAAGCGGAACCTTCAGCGCTGAGCCCCGCCCGCCTCAGCAGACATGTGGTCCAAACGCCCCCCCCATAAAATTCTAAACAGGCTGGCGCCTGCGGAAGGGGCTGCTGGGGTGATCCTTTTTCTTTAGTTCGAAGTTAACGAAGGAGAGTGGATGGAGCCTGGTTTGGGCGAGCAACCATCGATCACATAATTCGTGCTGCCATGTAGCATTGGACCATGTGGCGGCGTTCGGAGAAGCCTTTCCAAGCCTGTATATATTATTACAACCTTTATCGAATGTGACTGCATCTACATGTCGAATGAAATCCAACAAGAGGTTCACGGGTAACATACTCCCGCTAGCACGGATATTCGAATGACGCTTCACCGCAGCTACATCACTAACCCATTTCGATTAGAGCTAGAATTCCGGTATACATCACCACTCTATGTGTAGAGGTTTTGCACATCGAATAGTATTGTTTGGTGTTGTTCTTCATGCACGCGTTTAAGGCGTTCCTGGTGTGTGGGGTGGGGGTACATTCACATTCCTCTTGCAATGAGTTGCAAAGTTGAGGCTTCCTACGGCATTTATTTACATGATGATTCATGATGCACTTGGCATGCTGGTAGCACGGGTTTGCACTGATATTCTTTTTGTAAGAGTTACACTCGAATTTCGGCCGCATAGGTTTACAGTAGGACCCCGTACGCAGCGAATTGCAACATTGGTCCATGTGTAAAAGGATAGGACGCCAAACACCATGGCAACACTTACCACACAACAAGCAACACACCAGCTCTTGACTTCGGGATTATTTCTGAGAGGGGCCTCCGGTTGGGAAGCCTCACCCAGAAGTTATCCCGATCCTTTGTGTTTATGTTTTTGATTGTGATTGTCGTTGTGCCGTTTCAAGTGTCTTTGGCATTCGAGTCTTTTTACACGAGGGGTCCAATTCAGACTCATCGCAGGGGGATTTTCTTGTAGATGCTGATAGGCAGCATTCACGTTTATCCTTTACACAAGGAATATCATTGCCGACCCGCGTATGGATTTTCCGCAGCTCAAATCACATGAGGAGTCCACTTGTAAGCCCTCGTGTCAGAATTCCTACGATAAGCGCTTGAAGAAACACTGTGGTTGTGAGCCTTCACCCCTTACAACATGAATCTCATTGCAACTTCAAAGAAATCAGATTCCAAGCCATTGCTGAAGAAATCCCCCCGCATGGCGGGAGTACACCCTTGACTCGAGCGAGAATTTCTGCGACGACGGAGAAGGCAGGATAAGGGAGGAGCAGGTGGAGGGAGGAGCAGGTGGAGGAAGCGGAACAGTACGATGAGGAGGTGGAGCGGGAGAAGGGAGGAGGAACATGAAGAGGACGAGGAGGAAGAGGAGAAGCGCCCCCAACCCATCCAGCCTGGAGGTGTCCAGCGCCGGCAGAAGAAATCCGCGCGGGCCTCCGAAAGTTAATATTTGTGCCGTCTTTCTTTTTCTAACATCTACGACTCCCCTCGCGACGGGGTGGAGAACATCACGGTCACCCTGATGGCGGAGCCGATGTCCTGGCAGGCGACTTGCGAGCAAGTGTTGCAGCAGATCTCCGCGGTCGCGAGCTACGGCGTCACGGAGCAGGAGCTGACGCTGGCCCTGCGCATGACGCTCGACAGGGTGGACAGCAGCACGCGCTCGCAGCCTTGGGCGTTCATGAGCACGCACTCCGGCTACGAGGTTCGGAAAATAACCAGACCACAAGCATCAATAATCGGGTGTTTGTTGCAGATTTCTTTGATCGGCGCTGGACCCTTCCGCCCATTGCGCGCGGATCGCGTCAGGGGTGGCGCCAGAGGCGCCGCCAGGGGGGTCCAGCGCCGGTCCAAATGTAAAGGACATCCGACATGTGCCTACCGTCTCTCGCTGGTTCCTCCTTAGAGGTGCACGCCACGTCGCGGGAGGTGGTGGACGCGCTGATCGGCGCCGCGCCGTGCGGGCACCTGATGAGCACTGCCGAGGAGTTCGGGCGCGCGCTGCGCCGTGCGGGCGAGGCGATCACCGTCGCCGAGCTGAACGCCGCCGCGGCGTCGCTGCTCGGGCACCTGCGCGCAGGCGGCCGGCAGCACGGCACCGTGGTGGTGTCCTGCCCGGCCTTCATGCTGGAGGAGGCGACGCGGCAGCGCGTGCCGTTCCAGCCGCCGTCGGCCGAGGAGGTGCGGCGGGCGCTGTGTGGCGTCGAGGAGCTGACGGAGGCGGAGGTGACCGAGGTCGGGCGGGGCCAGGGCGGGGACACGTCGCCCCCCAGCGCGCTCCAGACTACTCTCAGTCGAAGAAGAAACACGCTATAAACATAAACTTTTGCGCGGATTTCTTGGCTTCGAGCTGGGCCCTCCCAGCGGCGCCTGCAGCGCCTTTCCTGGCGCCTGCAGCGCGCCAGGGAGGGGGGCCCAGTGTGGATCCGAGAAATCCGCGCGGAGCGCCAAAAGTTGATGTTGAGACGGGTTTGTTTGCTTCTGCTCGGGGCGTTGCCTGGAGCGCTCTGGACGGGCTGCGGCGCCCGCTGCTTCTCCAGAGCCGCCGGATCTCAGAGATTCCCCTTTTGTGTCCAGGTCCGACATGTCCCGGTCCTGGCTTCGTCTAACGAGGGGCTGGTGGAGGTCCCGGCTTCGCTGCTGGCGCCGCTCGAGCCAGTCGCGCCCGTGGAGCGGGCGGAGCTGCCGGACGGGGTGGTCTCCTTGCGGCTGCCGAACGGCCTGCGCGTGCGCCTGTTGGTGCTCGGATGGGGCCGGGACGAGGGCAGGTCCGTTCCAGAGCGTTGCAGAAGGCTCTCAGAGGCCTCGGGAACGCTCTGAGAAGGCAGCGGCGCCCGAGACATCCTCAAGAGCTGCGGGATTTCTAGGACTTCTCGATTTATCCTCACCCGATTTCATCCGCCCCTGAGATCCGACCGTGGCAAACAACTGCAACATGGCAGAAAATCAGCACCAGAGTCCCAGACCCCATCTTCCTGCGTCGTTTCTCGAGCCCGATCGATCCGTGAGGCTCCCGGGGCCCGAACTTTGAGCGAAGACGCCCGCTGTGATAAACCTGCGACGCCAGGACCTCCGGGTCGTCCTGGCTTCGTCTTAGGTGCGCCCCAGTTCGCCCGACGGCCCCGTCGAGGGCACCATGCGCCTCACCATGCCGGGCGGCCGCGCCGGCGAGCTGCGCCGCGGCCTGCCGGCAGGGTCCACAGAGGCCAGCTTGAGGCCCGAGGCCGGGATTTGCACACGTCCACCGCCTTAATGACCGACGATCCCAGACCCCCTCGAGTCATGAAAAAATCACGACGGGAGGTTTTTCGCGATTTTCGGCGTACCGGGGCCGTCATTGGGCCTCGGGACTGTCCAAAAGCGACGCAGGATGAAAACCGGTCCCGGGGAATGGGCCGAGACATTTGGGGACCCCGTATTGAAAAAATCAGGACGTCGCATGTTTGGGGACCGATGTTCCCAGGCCTCACCACCCACCAAACCACCCCAACCCAACCCGAAGGCCTCAATTTGCCATCCATTTCCAGTGGGGGGGGGTATCGGAGAACATTGAAACAAAAACACACAAGAAACCCTTTACCCCCCACCCCACCCCGAAATTCGGGTCTTCGGGTTGGGTCGGGGTGGTCTGGTAGGTGGTCGAGGCCCCCTCGGAGGCCCCTGCCCTGCAGTTTTTTTGTTTTGTTTTTCTGTTTGCACGGGTCGTTGGCGCCCAGCGTCGGGTCCTGGGGCCAGCACAAGCGCGGATCTGGCTCGACAAATGCCGCGGAACGATTCGGTGCTCTGGCTTCGGGTTGACCCAAAAGGGTGTCCAGGGACAAGGGAGTGGTGCAGTAGATCTTGTGCAATAGATTTGTGGGGTTGCAGTACATTTGGGGCGTTCAGTACATTCCGGGGCGCAAGTGTATTGTTGGATTCTCGCGTGCAAAACAGAATTTGCAATACAATGAAATACAATTCTCCGGCGCAATACGTTTGCAATACAATTGCCCCAGATCTATTGCACCACCCTCTTTCAGCTGGACCCTCTTTGAATTCTTCACGCTTCGCGTATCCCCACCAGCCCATGTCAAAACAGCAACTCTTGCGAAGCACGCCGACAGTCGTGTTTTTCAGGCGTGTTTCCGCCTGCCCCCGCATATCTCCCCTGTTCCTCCTTCCTCCCGTCTCCTTGTACATCCTCCTTGTGGTGGGAGCGGGAGAAGGACGAGGCGGAGGAGGAGGGAGAGAAAGCGCTCCTCGTGGTTTGAGTCGTTTGGGGTGTCTCGTCCTGGTGTGAGTCGTTCGGGCCCTTCTTCCTGGTGTGAGTCGTTCGGGCTCTTCGTGGTGTGAGTCGTTCGGGCTCTTCGTCCTGGTGTGAGTCGTTCGGGCTTCTCGTGGTGTGAGTTGTTCGGGCCCCTCGTCCTGGTGTGAGTCGTTCGGGCCCCTCCTCCTGGTGTGACTCGTTCGGGCTCCTCGTGGTGTGAGTCGTTCGGGGCCCTCGTCGTGGTGTGAGTCGTTCGGGCTCCTCGTGGTGTGAGTCGTTCGGGCGCCTCGTCCTGGTGTGAGTCGTTCGGGCCCCTCCTTCTGGTGTGAGTCGTTCGGGCTCTTCGTGGTGTGAGTCGTTCGGGCCCCTCGTCCTGGTGTGAGTCGTTCGGGCTCCTCGTGGCGTGAGGCGTTCGGGCACCTCGTCCTGGTGCAAGTCGTTCGGGCCCCTCGTAGTAGGTAGTAGTAGTAGTAGTAGTAGTAGTAGTAGTAGTAGTAGTAGTAGTAGTAGTAGTAGTAGTAGTAGTAGTAGTAGTAGTAGTAGTAGTAGTAGTAGTAGTAGTAGTAGTAGTAGTAGTAGTAGTAGTAGTAGTAGTAGTAGTAGTAGTAGTAGTAGTAGTAGTAGTAGTAGTAGTAGTAGTAGTAGTAGTAGTAGTAGTAGTAGTAGTAGTAGTAGTAGTAGTAGTAGTAGTAGTAGTCGTAGTAGTCGTAGTAGTAGTAGTAGTAGTAGTAGTAGTAGTAGTAGTAGTAGTAGTAGTAGTAGTAGTAGTAGTAGTAGTAGTAGTAGTAGTAGTAGTAGTAGTAGTAGATGTCCTTTGGGAGCCTCTTGGAGGCCTTTTGGGGCGTCTTGGGGGCCTCTTGGCGGCCCCAGGGGCTTCTAGGAGCGTCTTGGGGGCCTCTTGGGAGCCTCTTGGAGGCCGTTTGGGGCGTCTTGGGGGCCTCTTGGCGGCCCCAGGGGCTTCCAGGAGCGTCTTGGGTGCCTCGGGGGAGCCTCTTGGGGCCTCTTGGGGGCCTCTTGGGGGCATCTTGGGGGCCTCTTGGAGGCCTCTTGGGGCCTCTTGGGGCCCTCTTGGGCGCCTCTTGGAGCGTCTTGGGGGCCTGTTGGGGCCATCTTTGGGGCGATCGATCACAGATGGGGCGAGCATTTTTGTCAGTCCCCCCGTCGGGGCCAGAATCCTCGTGAGGGGTGTCGAATTTTAGCCCTCCCAGGAGTCGAAAAGACCCCTCCAACCACCCGCGAAAGGACCTCTCCAGGCCCAGGGGAAGGGGGTAGGGGGAGGGGTAAACCCCTCCCCGAAGGGGAAGAAGGGGGGTTGAGAACAGAGAGAGCTCGCTAAACCACTCACGCCCAAAGGGCCAGATCTATTGCACCACCCTCTTTCAGCTGGACCCTCTTTGAATTTTCCCGATGCTGCTTTTTGAGCGACGTCGAATCTCAGCGTGGGGAGGCGGTGGCTGTATATATATATATATATATATGTATATATGTATGCGGGCAAGGGGCCCAAGTATGTCCACATCCGCCGCCCCATGGGGTCCCAGGCCCAGGACATCGGTTCCCTGGGCGGTGGATCTGGACAGATCCCCGCCTCGCACGAGGACCCTGGAGAGTTGCGGCGTGGGTGAGTGGAAGCGGGAGCAGCTGCAGCTCTACCAGAAGCTGCGGTCCACCTCCGTGGAGCTCCGGGCGGGGGCCGACGTGTCCGAGGCGTTCGTGCACTTCGCCTCCAGCGCCGACTCCTGCAGGGCCGGGCTGGAGTACCTGCACTGGCTGCTCCGGCAGCCGCGGATGGACATGCAGGGCTTCATGGAGGGCCAGCTGCGCATGAAGGGCAACGCCAACGCCCGGGAAAAGTCCCTCGAGAACAGAGCCACACAGGCGGATCCATATGGGACTGCGCGCGAGAGAAGCCCTTCGTCAGAGTGCAGTGGAGACCCATGCTAAGAAGCACCCCTGGGTTTCTTGGGTTGGGGATGTTGGGTTTCGATGGTTTTGCTATGGAAAGCGTGACATTCCCCCACCACCCCAAATCAATGAACGTCCTGGGGTCTCAGGGTCGGGTTTCTTGTGGAAGGCTTCTTGTGCCTACTGTAGCCTTTTGGGTGCAGTTTCTTCGCTGGCGGCGCGCACCACGCAGGGGGTCGGCGCGGGGCGGGGGGGGGGGCGCCCTCTGAGAAGGCGGGGGTGCCCGTGAGGAGGCCGGGGGCCCGTTTGAAGCCCTCCCTGTTTCCAATAAGCCTTCCTGAGAATCGAAGGAGAAGCATGGCACAAACATGAACTGTTGGCGATCCGCGCGGATTTCTTGGATCTTCGCCGGGCCCCCCCTGGCGGCGCCTCCAGCGCCGCCCCTTGCGCGCTCCGCGCGCGGACCGCCAACAGCTTAATTACGTTTATGCCGATGTTTGTGCCTCCACAGCTATGATGTTCCAACCTGCTTTAGCCCTTCATCACCAGGAAGAATTACGAGCATCAAGGAAAGTACCGAAACTGGAGGGTTTGCACGTGTCGGGCCCTGGGTGGCGATACTCGTTCGTCGTTCGGCACTGTTTCGATATTCTTCTGGATGCTAGAATTTCTTTTGAGATGTGGTCCTCAAGTACGATGGGAGCCACGCAACTCTAGTGAAGTGTCGGGGCCCTTTTGAGAAGGGCCCCCAGCCTTTTCTCGCACCCCCGCGATGTGGTGACAGCGACGTCACCACCTGAGAACTGCTCAAATCCTTCTCCTCCTCCTCTTTTTGTTCCTCCTCCTCCTCCGCCCTCTGCTCCTCATCCTCATCCTCGTCCTCATCCTCGATGGGCACGCAGGCCGCTGTGGCTGCGCGCGTCCTGCTGAGACGGCCGCCCCCGCCGTCGCGCCAGCAGCTCCGTGTGCGCGCCGCCCCTGGCTCTCTCCCGAGGGCGCGGGGGGGGGGCCCAGGAGCGCCAGGCCGCTGCGGCCGCATCGCAGGCAACGGCCTGCATACATGGGCCTCGCACCGGAGAGCATTCCTGCCCGGGGCCACTCCGCGGGAGGGATGGAGGTCAGGGGCAACGAGAGGGGGGGATAGGCATGGGGGGGATGCATCGACCCCCAATCGCCCACTGATCGCCGATGGGGCGCCCCCCAGAGGGCGCGGGGGGGGGCCCGGCCCAGGAGCGCCAGGCCGCTGCCGCGGCATCGCAGGCGATGGCTTGCAGATAGGTGTAAGTCGTGCGTGTCCCTCTACAGGAGGAGTACTCAAAAATAGTAAAAACAAAAAGTCAGGGGGGCGATTTCTTAAGTATGGTTTGCTTATTTTTGGGTGCATGGTTGGAGGATGTTTCATGTTTCGCCCAAAATGCGCCTGTAAAGGGGACATGCCCGACCTAAAGATAGGCCTCGCATCGGAGAGCATTCCTGCCCAGGGCCACTCCCGCGGAAGGGAGGGAGGGGAGCATCAGTGGCACGTTGGCGTTGACAGCCCGTCCGCGTGCTGCTCCCGCGTTGCTGTCGGAAGGCCTGGAGCTCTTCCACGGGAGCACGCCATGGGTTACTCGAGTCAGGGCTAATTCGGATTCGTTTTCGGGAATCCGAACCCGAGCTCCCCCGGGCCCAAGTTACCCTGGATAAGTCGGGCGTCCAGAGCCCCGAATCATCAGGGGTAACTCGATTCAGGGCAAACTCGGTTTCGTTTTTCGGGAATCCGAACCCGAGCTCCCCCGGGCCCGAGTTACCCTGGATGATTCGGGCGTCCAGAGCCCCAAATCATCAGGGGTGACTCGGGTCAGGGATAACTCGGGTTCATTTCGCGGGAATCCGAACCCGAGTTTCCCCGGGCCCGAGTTACCCTGGACAATTCGGGCGCCCGTGTGGGCTCTCCACGGCGGCGTGCCATGGATGCTGCTTCTGCTCCCCGAACCCCCGCGCGTGGCCGACCAGGCGCTGCTCGAGGGCATGTACCCAAACGACCCGTGGATCGCGGAGCCCACCCTCAGGCAGGTCAACATGCTGTCGATGGGCCAGGTGGGCGCCGGAAGAAAGCGGGGTGGACTGCGCCGGCTTTGGCCCGAGAGCTGCCCCGCGCAAGGTTGCGCGTAAGCGCCCTCGCTTGCAGCGTGCCAGCCTGGTGGCGTAAGCCACCGCGTAAGGTCGCTATGCCGTCTCGCGTAAGACCCCTGTCTTTTCGTCGCTCAGGTGCGGCGCGCTGCGGAGGCGCAGCTCGGCGACGTCGGCCAGCTCCAGCTGGACATCGTTTGCAGCGCGTCTCCCCGCGGGCCCTCGACCGGGTCTGGCCTCAGCAGGCCCACGGAGGAGCGCGAGCCCGACGGCAACGGTGGTCATTTGGCGGGGCTATTCGGGCGTGACCTTCCACAGGAGGAAAATTCAAAGATAGTGCAAAATAGTGTGGGGACGATTTTTCGCCAATGTTTGGCTACTCCATGGTATTTTTAAATTTTCTCCCATATTCTTCCAACATCATCCGCCTGTAGGAGGACATGCCCGACCTGGAGCTAAAAGACTGGGGTCGATCTTTCCAGAACGCTCTCAGAGCGCTCCCCAGTCCTGAAAGCATGCGGACGGGAGGTTTGTGGTCGTCTTGGGCCTTTGGGAGCCCTCGCCTGGCACCGTCACCTTCAAAAACGACGCAGGATGGAATATTGCCCCCCCCCCGGGAAAAGGGTCGGGACTTCCTGGGACCGCGTCTCAACAAAAACATAACGTCGTATGTTTGGATCTGGAACGGCCTGGCGCCCGATATATCGTCCAGAACCGCCGGGTCTCAGAGATCCCCCATACGTCCCTTGCCGAGTTTGTCCCGGCCCTGGCTTCGTCCTGCAGGTCAGCGCTGACGAGGGTCAGCCCATCCCCGCCGGCCTGAGCCCAGCCGGGCTTGAGAGCCAGCGCGCAGCCATGTGCAGCCGACCCCTCTCCACCACATCTCGGGTGTGTCAGGCCGAACGAAAAGGGGGGGGGGGTGTTGCCCATTCCCCGATACAGAGGGCGCCTCCCGGCGCCAGGAGGCGCAGGAAGACCAGCCCCGTGAGCTAATTTTCTACCCTGCCCTTTGCTATCCTACCCTTTCGCCCCCCGAGTGTTGCTAGAAGCGCCCCTGGCCCAAGGTGCCCCAAGGGCGCCCCTCACCAGGCCCAGAGGGCCCCATGGGGCTCCCAAAGATAAGCGAAAAGCTGGGAGCATCTTGGGCCAGGGGCACCTTTCTGGCAACTTCCGAACCCACACCCCCGACGTCATGATGTTTTCATGACGGCGACCCCCAGAGATCTCGACCCCTTCCCCACGATCGGTTTTTCATCCCATGGGCCGCTTTTTGGCGGTCCCGAGGCCCGGCGAGGGCTCAAGAGGTCGAAACTAGCGTTAAGTCGGGCCTGTCCCTCTACAGGGGGAATTTTCAAAAATAGTAAAAAGATTGTCTGGGGACGTTTTTTTTCTTGTTTTTACCATTTGGGAACATTTTTGGAGAATTTTTGGAGTATGTTTTTGTCCGTCCAAAATCCCCCTGTAGGGGGACAGGCCCGACTCAGAACTACCGAAATGCCGTCCGTCGTGATTTTTCCATGACCCGAGGGGGCCTGGGAGCCTCTGCCTTCCACTCGCACGCGCTTGGGAGCTCTGAGGAGGGGGAGGAGGAGGCGGAGGAGGAGGAGGAGGACTAGGAGGAGGAGGAGGGGGAGGAGGAGGAGGAGGAGGACTAGGAGGAGGAGGAGGAGGGAGGAGGAGGAGGAAGAGGAGGCAGAGGACTAGGAGGAAAAGGAGGAGTGGGAGGAGGAGGAGGAGGAGGAGGAAAAAGGAAAAGGAAGAGGAGGAAAAGGAGGAGGAGGAGGAAAAGGAGGAGGATAATGAGGAGGAGGAGGAGGAGGAGGAGGCGGAGGAGGAGGAGGAGGAGGAGGAGGGCTGCATACCCCAAGCGGGCCCTTGCCGACTCTGGGTCCGGGGCGGGTCCCCGGCGGGCCGCGGGTATCGGGTCGGTCGGGCCCAGGGGTCGGCGCGCGGCGTCCCGGGAGGAGGCGGAGGGCGGTCCGCTGGCGGACGAGGCCGTGGGCGAGATGAGGCAGCTGCTCGAGCTCGAGGTGTTCAGGGAGCAACAGCACACGCAGGCACAAATCCACAGCGCCGATGCCCTGGAGAAAATGGGGGATCATGTGGGAAGTGGGGGGGCGGCGGGGGGGTGGGGGAAACGAAAGGTCCAGAACAGGTGGGGCATGGGTGGAATCCTCGGATTTGTGTGCGTCTGTCTTTGTATGCCCTGGGGCCCCTTCAGAGGTGTGCCGCACCGTGGGCCTGCTGCAGGCCGCGCCGCCGCGCCCCGCCGCTCCTCTCTGCGCTCTCCGTCGGACGCGCCTGGCTCGGGAGGCTTCGCGGTCGGCATCGTCTGCGCCGGAGCAGGGGGGGGGCACCCGTGTAGATCTCGGCCTCCTCAATGGATCGGCGCGGGCCTTCGCCCTCCCCCCCCTTCCCCCACCCCCAATGGAGTAGAGCTTGGCTGGTTTGGGGCGCCTGTTTCGAGCAGGTGGAGCCTCCACCACAGGACGCACTGCTGCAAACAGTCGCATTAATTAAGCAGAGGTCTGGAGCCGTTTTTTTATAGCTAGGCCTCCATTCAATGGGGTCCGAGTAGGTGGGGTCGGAGGATCCTGCCGCGTCGCCGATACATCGACGGTGCGGCTCGATGTGGAGCTCGTGTTTCCCCACGCCAGTGTCGCCGATGCATCGCCGACGTCGCCGATACACCGGTGATGCGTTGGCGATGCGGCGCACTCCCTCGACCCCACCTACTCGGACCTCATCCAGGAGGCCTCTAGTACTTTGCGGGCCCCAGAAACGGCAGGGCCGTTTTTCACCGTTTCCGAACGAATTTCCCCTGAAAATGGAAACGGCAAAACAACGGCGACCGGAAACGGCAAAGAAACGTCTCCAGGATTGGACCCGGAGCGGGAACAGGTCAAACAACGGCGACGGAACCGGTAACAAAAACAGCGTCGGAACCGGCAAAAAACGGCAAAACGGAACCGGTAAAAACACGGCCCTGTCGTTTCCAGGGCCCGTTAAGCTCTAGTATAGCCGCCTTCGGCTGATTCTCGGGAGGTACGCCTATTTGATGATGTTGGGCGCAAATTTTTGTGAATATAAAAAAGGGGGGGTTACGAAATTTGCTGCATGCAGCTGGTTTCGGCCCCGCCGAGGGGCCCATTCCTCGATACATAGCCGCCTCCGGCGCCGGGAAAATCAGCTACGTGAGCTGATTCTCAAACCCCCCCTTTGCTATCCCCCCCTTTCGCCCGACCCGACTTGAGACGGGGGTCAATGCAAACGGGGGTCAGCCAGGGCACCGGATCCTGCAGGATCCTGCGAAGACCGCCTCTGGCTGACCCGGGTTAGCGAGCCGCTCGTGGCCGCCAGGCGGCCGCGCATATTGGCTGACCCGGGTTTGCGAAGCCCTGCGTTGCAGTTTCTTTTTTTGCAATGCAGTTTTTGCTTTCCTGCTGACCCGGGTCTGGATTGACCCGGGTCAGAAGGTCCACGACTTGAGGGATGCTTTTCTGTCTCAGGTCCGATTGTATGTTTGGGGGTTTCCCCAGCACGGTGGCGTTTTTTACCTAACAGCGAAGACTGATAGGTTTCTAGTGGTCTCAAAAGAGAGCATCATGACTCCTCAGGGGGGTCGGGGCGGGACCCGGGGCGGGACCCGGCGCGGTTGCCGCCGCACTCGTTTTTCGCAAACAGTGACACACTTCGTGCTCTTCGACCTCCCAGAACTCCATTCCCGGGCCACATTCTGAATGCCCGGAGCCAACTGTAGGCCACTTCGTGCTCTTCGACTTCCCAGAACTCCATTCCCGGGCCACATTTTGGATGCCCGGAGCCAACTGTAGGCCACTTCGTGCTCTTCGATTCCCAGAACTCCATTCCCGGGCCACATTTTGGATGCCCGGAGCCAACTGTAGGCCACTTCGTGCTCTTCAAGTTCCCAGAACTCCATTCCTGGGCATGATTTTGAATGCCCGGAGCCAACTGTAGGCCACTTCGTGTTCTTCTAGTTCCCAGAACTCCATTCCTGGGCCACATTTTGAATGCTGAGGCAGGCTGATGCTGCGGCCGAGGCAGGCTGAGGCTGAGGCAGGCTGAGGCTGAGGCCGAGGCAAGACTGAGGCTGAGGCTGAAGCAGACTGAGGCTGAGGCTGAGGCAGGCTGAGGCTGAGGCTGAGGCAGGCTGATGCTGAGGCAGGCTGAGGCTGAGGCTGAGGCTGATGCAGGCTGAGGCTGAGGCAGGCTGAGGCTGAGGCCGAGGCTGAAGGCTGAGGCTGAGGCTGAAGCAGGCTGAGGCTGAGGCAGGCTGAGGCTGAGGCAGGCTGAGGCTGAGGCTGAGGCAGGCTGAGGTTGAGGCTGTGACTGCGACTGCCGTTGCCGCTGCGACTGTCATCGCGAATGCGACTACGACTGCGAGAACAGCAGAATTCTACAACTGGATGTTCATCTGAATCTTAAGGGGAATGCTTTCAGATATGCTTCTACACATCGCTGTTAGGTTGCTTTGCCGGGATAATTTTTGTGTTTGCCCTCGGTCGCAGCCGCTGGGCGACGCGGCGCCCCAGAGGTCCGACGCGCCTCCAAAGAAGAGGAGCGGGCGCTTTTTCGGCTCCGGGGGCCTTCGCCGGGCCTCGGGACCGTCCAGCAGAGTTTTTTTTTTTCTCCCACTATCACTTGCAACGAGTTATGAGCATAAAAAAATCATGATGTCCGCCTGGGCCCCCATCGGATGAGCGGAGATGCGAGCGCAGTGGCGCGCGCGGTCGCGCGCGACCCGCCGCTGGTAATATCTCCTCCAGGCGCCCCCACCCGCCCTCCCGCTCCGCCGCCTCCCCCCGGTCTCCGTCCTCCTCGACTCCCTCCCTCCTCCAGTTTCATCCAGCCCTCCCCCCTGCTTCCAATAGCGAAGGCCTTACGGCCCGTGCCGCCGACCCTAAAGAGGGACCACGACGACGACGACGGTGACGATGACCACGCTCGCGAGCCCTCGTGGGGACCCTTGTGAGCCCTATTGGCCTCGTTTGGGGGGGCTTTAAGGTCGTCTAGGGACATGATTGGGCCGTCTTGGGGCCTTCTTGGGCTGTCTTAGGACCGCCTGGAGCGCTTCTTGGGCCATCATGGGGAGATATGGGGGCATCCTTAGGCTCGAAAGGCGAGAGCTCAACAAAGTCTGGAACAAACCTCGAGGGCACCGATGATTTTGACCCCTTGGGTCTCTCTCGGGGGTCCTCTCGGGTCTGCTTTGTGGCGTCTTGGGTAGCTCTGGGGCCTTCTTGGGGGCGTGGGGCGCCTCTCGGGGCTTTCGGGGTGCCTCTTGGGGCAGAGGGCGTCAAGTGTCGGTTGGTGTTCCCCCCCTTGCGGCTCTTTGGGGCTCTCTTGGGCCGTCTTGGTCGCAGGGGGTGGTGGGCCACGATTCCTGGGGCCCCCCCGTGACTCCCCTTCCGGGACGCCCCCCAGGAACCCCTCCCAGGGACCTCCTTCGGGAGCCTCCCCGGGGACCCCCCGAAGAGGCATTCTGGTGTAGGATAGGATGGAGTTCCCCCACCCCAGCGCGGGGAAAAGGGATCAAAGGGAAGGGGCTCCCCTTCGACTCGATTACGACGTGGTTCGATTTCCAGCTGGCTGGGTCGCTTGAGGAGGAGGGCCCAGGGAAAGGGGAAAGTGGCGGCTACGACTACAACGACGGCGACAACGACGACGACGACGACGGCGGCGATGGCGACGACGACGACGCAAACGGAAAATAGGAGCGGCGACGGCGGCAACGGTGACTCAAACGGAAAAGCGTCCTTGTAATTTTGTAATCGTTGTTGTATTAATTGTTTTGCCGATCGGCGCGGGCCCTCGCACCCCCCCCTATGGAGTACTCTTGGCTGTTTGTTGGTGCCTGTTTCGAGCAGGTGGAGTCCATCCCCCATCGGACGCACTGTCGCAAACAGTCGCACTAAGCAGAGGTCTGGAGCCAGATCCCCACCCCCTCCCCCACCCTTCCGCTCAATGTCGAAACGCCGAATTAAAAAACGCTCACCTTCACACGCCGACAGGGTCGGCACATATCGTGCTCCTACACCATCCTGCTCCCGTCGCACGGAGGAGAAGGAACGAGGAGCAGCGAAGGCGACGAGGTGGAGGGTCGGGGGGTGCATGGCGAGGACAGAGGAGAAGGAGGAGGAGGAGGTGCAGACGGAGGAGGAGGAGGAGGAGGAGGAGGAGGAGGAGGAGGAGGAGGAGAAAGTCGAGGAAGAGGAGGAGGAGGAGGAGGAGAAACTAGGAGGTGGAGCAGAAGGAGGAGGCGGAGGAGGAGGAGCGAGGAGCGAGGAGGAGCGAGGGCGAGAATGTGGAGGGCCAGGGGGTGCACGGCAAGGATGAGCAGAAGGAGGAGCAGGCAAATGAGAAGGGAATGATGATGATGATGATGATGATGATGATGATGATGATGATGGTGATGGTGATGGTGATGGTGATGATGATGTTGTTGATGATGATTATGATGATGTTGATAGTGACGTTGATGAGGAGGAAGATGAGGAGGATGAGGAACATCAGGAGGATGAGGATGAGGATGAGGATGATGAGGATGATGATGCTGTTGCTGATGGTGATGATGATGATACTGTTGGTGTTGATGATGCTGATGATGATGCTGATGCTGCTGATGATGATGATGCTGATGATGATGATGATGATGATGATGATGATGATGATGCTGATGCTGATGCTGATGCTGATGATGCTGATGATGCTGATGCTGATGCTGATGCTGATGCTGCTTATGATGATGATGATGCTGATGATAATAATGATGCTGTTGGTGGTTGTGATGATGATGGTGATGATAATGGTGGTGATGATGATGATTATTATTATGATGATGATGACGATGACGATGACGATGATGATGATTATTATTATGATGACGATGACGATGACGATGACGATGACGATGATGATGATGATGATGATGATGATGATGATGATGATGATGATGATGATGATGCTGATGCTGATGCTGATGCTGATGATGATGATGATGATGATGATGATGATGATGATGATGATGATGCTGATGATGATGATGATGATGATGATTACGATGATGACGATGGTGGTGGTGGTGGAGGTGGTGGGTGGTGGTGGTGGTGGTGGTGGTGAGGAGGAGGAGGAGGAGGAGGAGGAGGAGGAGGAGGAGGAGGTGGAGGAAGAGTATGATGCTGAGGAAGGGGAGAGGATCGAGGGCGTGGAGGCGGAGGGCCAGGGCGTGCAGGGCCAGGAGCAGGAGGGCGAGGAGGACGAGGAGCAGCGAGGGGGCGCTCGCGCGCCCGCCAGCCTCCCGCGGCGGGCTCCACGCCGCTGCCGGCGCCGGCGCCGTCGTCGGCTCCGCGCGGCGGCGAGCTGCGGATGCACGTGCCCGACAGCAAGGAGCGCCCCGAGGCCTGCCCTGCGAGGAGGGGCAGGTCCGACACCAACGAAGGATTGCAAAAAAACCCTGGGTTTTTTTTGCAATGCTTGGGTTTTTTTTGCAATCCTTCGTCGAAGGGTTTTTTTGCAATCCTTCGGGTTTTTTTGCAATCCTTCGCCCTGGAACGGAGCAGAAAGCTATATGAGCACAAGCCTCCGAGGGCCCGCGCGGACCTCTCGGGTCGGCGCCGGGCTGCGCTCCTTGGCGCGCGCCCCTGATCAGAGCCCCGAACCACTCGAAGAAGAGCAAGTTGCAAACCTTTCTGTCGGGGGCGGACAGAACCCCCGACAGTGACACGTCGATTAGTGAATTGTCCGTTTTCGGTTCTCGAGAGGGCGCCGTGGCCGTTATTTTCCAGGCTTGCGCCCGCCAGGTTTGGGCCTCAGGTCGTTTTCACTAAACCACGTTTTGCTAAAGGGGGTTCTGTCCATCCCCGATTCTGGCGCTCCGCGAGGAGTTCTTGGAACCGCGCTGGGGCCCCCTGGCGGCGCCTCTGGCGCCGCCTCCGGCGCGCTCCAGGGAGGGGGGTCCAGCGCGGACCCACGAAATCCGCGCGGAGCGCCCAAAAGTTGATGCTTGGACGACGACGCACACCGGAAAGCCTCGCAAACACGCCAACAGGGCCGGTGGGTTCTTGTTCTTCTTCGTCATCTTCAAGAGGGCGCCGCCATCTCCCGCCGCCGTCAGTCGGGTCGGGCGACTGTGGGGAATTGCGAAGAGGGGGCCACGAAGTTTGCTGCATGCAGCAGCCGGTTTCGGCCCCGACGCCGGGCGCATTCCTCCATACCCCGGTGCCTCCGGCGCCTGGGGGGCGCTGGAAAAGCAAGCTGCGCGAGCTGGTTCGCTCACCCCCATTTGCTATCCTCAAGTCGGGCGTGTCCCTCTACAGGAGGAAGATTCAAAAATAGCCAAAAAAATAGTCAGGGGAGTATGTTTGGTGCATTTGTGTGAGCATGTTTGGTGCAATTCTTGACTATGTTTAATTTGTCGTTCAAAATCCCCCTGTAGGGGAACAGGCCCGACCTACCACCTGCTGCTATCCCCCCCCTTCGTCCGACTCGAGCCGCCGTCCTCCTCCCTCGTGCTCTCGGGCCACAGCTCGGGCCTCGGGCGGTCGTCTCGGGGCTCCTGTGGGCCTCCCGGGAGGGCGCCCGGAGAGACGCAGCGGATGGAGAGCACGCCTGGCGTCAGCCATTTCGGTCCGATCGATCCGATCGGATGTCGGGTTCGGCCTGCACGGTCCGATTTAACTCCTCACCACCCACCAAACCACCCCAGCCCAACCCGAAGGCTCAGATTCACCCTCGTTTTCCAGGGGGGGGGGGGTCGGGAAACATCAAAAAAACACGTGTGGAACCCTTACCCCCCCAACCCGAAATTCGGGTCTTCGGGTTGGGTTGGGGTGGTCTGGTAGGTAGTCATTCCGATGCTCCGAAGATGCGATGCGTCCCGAAGTTTGCATCCTGGCGCAGCCGACCCGATTCGTTTTCGACCACGTGCCGATGCGGCCCGACTCGACGCATGTTCCGATCCGATGCGGTTTCACAATCCGATGCTGGCTGTAAGTCGGGCCCGTCCCTCTACAGGGGGAATATTCAAAAATAGTAAAAATAGTCTGGGGACTATTTTTTGAAGTATATTTGGGCATCTTTTGAATATTTTTTGAATCTCGTCTATGTTTTGCCCAAAATCCCCCCTGTAGGGGGACAGGCCCGACCTGCTGCTGGCTGCTTCTGCCTCCCCCGCAGTCGACCTCCGGACCTCCCACGAGGCGCATCCCGGCCAGAACTCCGAGGCGGCTCCGGCCGTGGCCACGGGGGCCCCCACCGAGGCCGAGCACGGGCGGACGCCTCGACGGAATCCTTGTCGGGCCCGGGGAGAGCAGCCCCACAGCAGGCCCTGTGCACTGGCGGCCACATGGCAGCTTCATGCGCTGTTCGGGGGCCCCCAGACAGGGTGGTGAACACACCGGTGCGGTGAGTCGGTAGGGATTCGGGGTCACCGCACGGTTTTGGGACTCGGGTCGTTCTTTGAGGACGTCTCGGGCGACAGGGGACTCCGGGGTCCCAAGACCGTGCGGTGACGGACCGTGCGGTGAGGTCTTGGGGGATTTCGAGGTCACCGCACGGTTTGTCACCGCACTGTTTCGGGACTCCAAAGTTGTGAATTGTGTGCGCGCCGTGCGAGCAAGCTGAAGACTTTGGCAGCACAGATCTGTACGTTTTCCTCGACCCCGTCCTGTCCGTGCATAGAAATCGACCCCAAGCCCTCTAGCTTTTCTTTGCCCCCTCAGGTCCAAACTGGGATAAACCACGGTATGCTTCTCCCTTGTCTTCCTCCCTGAAGTAGGGATCTCGTGTGGGTGGCGCTGGTTGACGTCAGTCGGCTTTAACGCACGCCAGCACTGCGAGACGCAGTGATTTCAGGCTGGCCTCGCCCAATCTCTTCCCATGTCCCTTGACGAATCATCTGCGTGGGGGCTTCTCTCGTCGTGCGACGATCTCTTCACAGAGCTCGGTATCTGCAGTCGCCGCGAAGTGTGCTTCGCCGTGCATAAGAGTGATTCGTGTCTCGTGGATCTAGGCCTCCCAGATGGGGTCCGAGTAGATGGGGTCGGAGGATCCCGCCGCTTCGCCGATGCCTCGGCGATGCGGCTCGATGCGGAGCCCGATCTTCCCCACGCCGACGGCGCCGATGCGTCGCCGACGGCCTCGATGCATTGCCGACGTGGCCGATGCATCGCCGAGGCATCGGCGACGCATTGGCGATGCGGCGCGATCCTCCAACCCCATCTTCTCGGACCCCATCTAGGATTATGATGTTCCAACCTACTTTAGCCTCGATCACCAGAGAGAATTACGAGCACCAAGAAAGTACCGAAGCTCGAGGGTTTTCAGGCGACACTCGTTCGACACCGTGTCGATACTCCTCTGGATGCTCGAAATGATTCCTCGGATGTGGTCCCAACGTGCGATGGGAGCAACGTAAATCTAGGAGGCCTCCAGCGGAGAGGGAGACACGACAGCTCCTTCGGCCCCCCCCCACCCGACGGCTCCCCAGGAGCGCGGTCTGGTGCTCATCGCCGGGGGCGCCCCGGGCTACTGGGGGACGGGCGACGCTCAGTGGCGCGCGGAGGCTGCGCGTTCGAGACGTCCACGTCGTCGTCGTCGTCGTCGTCGTAGTCGTCGTCGTCGACTCGTTTTGGAGGTTTCTGGCGGTTCGTCGTCTCGTCTTCCGGGAGAGGGGCGTGGGCCCAGGGCTCTTTTAGGATGGCAAGCGTGTCCCCGGTGCCAAGTTCGAAGAAGGCCTGCGGATCCATGAGCGATAGATCTCTGGGTCGATGAGGGTGGGCGGATTATATGTTGAGGATGTCCCGAGCGAAACGCTGAATTTTGAAGTTCCAACCGATAAGACACATGGTCAAGTGAACATGTTCGTTGTTTGCGGATGTCTCGGGCGAAACGCTTGTTTTGCAGAATGTGTTGAGATTGTCTTGAGCGAAACAGTTGTTTTGTCTTAAAGGCATAACTCCTCTCTGGAGGGCCAGAGTTCAGAGCATGTCTGAGGCGAAATGCCTGTGTTCACGTGCCCAGGTCGCCTAGGGGTATATCTGACATGGTTGTCCCCAGATGGAACCACATGTTGTCACGTGCCCAGGCCACCCAAATGGTACCTAAGGTGGTGGCCCCGAACTTGAACTGCGTGTTTTTATGTGTCCAGACCAACCAGTGGGGTATCCAGTATGGTATCTAACATGGTTGCGCCGAGCGGGAGCCACGTGATTTTACGTGTGCGGGCCACCCACGGGGGGGAGATATCTAACATGTGGTCGTCTGGGAGCCCCAAGCGTGGGGGTGCCCACAAGAGCCACACTAAACCAATGCATCTACACCAGATGTGTAATAACTTGACACAGTTTCTTCTGCTGGTGATTTCCCAGATTGCCCACATGGGTATCTAAGATGGTGGTCCCGAGCTGGAACTGCTTGTTTTCACGTGTGCTGGAACCCAGTGTTTGCACATGCCCAGGCCACCCATGGGAATATCTAACATGGTAGTCGCGAGCTGAACCACGTGTTTTACGTGTCCAGGTCACCCAGGGGATATCTAACACGGTGATCCCGAGCTGGAACCGCGTGCTTTTGTTTGTCCATGCGGCCCAGGGGTGGGTGTCTAAGATGGTTGTTTCTGCCCCACCGCTGAAACCACGTGTCTTCACGTGCCCAGGCCACAACAAGGTATCTAACAGTGTGGCCCGAGGCTGGAACCACGTGTGTCCACGTGCCCACGCCACCCAGAGGGGTACCTGGCATAGTGGCCCCGAGCTGGAACTACCGAATGTCACGTGTCCAGGGCACCCAGGTGGATGTCTAACATAGCGGCCCCGAGGCTCCAGCCACGTGTTTTAATGTGTCCAGGCCACCCAGGGGGGTATCTGACATGTGGTCGTCTAGTCCCCCCCCCGGCGTGAAGGCCCACAAGAGCCAGACAAAATCAAAAATCTAGACCAGATGTATAATAGCTTTCGGCTAGTGGCTGGTGAGTTTCCAGATTTCGAATTGCGGTTTCGAATATGGTGACCCCGAGCTGGAACCACGTGGTTTCACGTGTTCGGGCCACCCAGGTGGATATCTAACATAGTGGTCCCGAGCTGGAACCGCGGTCGCGGTCGTCGCCGTCCGCCGTCGATGTCGTCAGGCGTTACGGCCCGCCCTTTCTCGACGCACTGCGCCTCGGTTTGGACTCGCCCTTAGCCTTATCATGTCGCCTTGTTGCGGAACGTAATCCTTTCGGAAGGTTTCGATTACAAACAGTTCTGGGCGAGCAATGCGCCCAGGCAGCTCGAGCTTGAGGCCCAGCTCAGTTCTGTCAGGATTCGGATGCCAGGCTAGATTTGATCCAGCAACAGGGCACAGAACTGTTCAGAGTCGCCCCCTTTCGGTTTGCCCCGCTCCCGAACTGAATTGGATATGGAGCTCGAGCTGGTCGAGCGCCCTGCGCGTTTCGATTTCGGCCAGCTCTGACTTATGCGTTCAGGCAGCCCGAGCTTAAGATCCAGATCAGTTCGATCAGGATTCTGACGCTATAGACGATTTGATCCAAAATGCAGAAGAGCACAGCATTTCGACGCGGCATGGCGCGTCTCAGTTCAGCACAGCACAGCACAGCACAGTCCTTGGCACTGTACATCACCATCGTTACCTTGAGCAGCTGCAACTGCCCGTCGCCCAAATTTTGTTTATTGAGCAATGTCCATGCTTCACGTTTCGATATCCATTTCCGGGCTGGTGGGTCGATCATGTTTTGTCGCCGTCCTCTTCGTCTTAATCTTCGTCGTTTGAAAGATTTCCTGGTTGCTCTTGCGCGAGCGTGGGAGACAGTTGTCGTCGTTTTAGAAGTTTCTCGATGGTTCTTCGTTTTCCTAATTTTCTGTAGTGTCGTTTCCTCGTTTTGTGCCAGCAGCGCCGTGCTCAACTCCCTCCCGCTGTCCTTCGTCCCTCTTCCAGCTCCTGCCTCCCACGCCCCATTTCGTCACACCCCTCACACGTTGGCCCCACAGGGAGCTCCACCTAAGGCCCCGAAGGGTGCGTTCACATGCGACCCCCCGCTCATTTCGGCACACCGCTCACACTCTTCTTGGCCCCATTGGGAGCTGCACCGAAGGCCCAGTGGATGCGTTCTCTCTCTGGTCATTCCAGCACACACACATATCACACCAGTTCGTGGCCCCATATGGGGCTCAACCTAAGGCCCCATTGGGTGCGTCTGCGTGCGGCTCCCCGCCCATTTCGGCACACCCTTCACACGTTTCCTGGCCCTACAGGAAGCTCCACCTAAGACCCCAGTGTGTACGTCCACACGTCCACTTGCTGCTCCCCGCCCATTTCGGCACACCCCTCGCACGTTTCATGGCCCATGCGGGGCTGCAGGTACTGTCCCAGTAGGTGCGTCCACATGCGATCTCTCCCCCCGCTTATTTCGGCACACCAGCCCCACAAGGAACTCCACCTCAGGCCCTGGAGGGTGCGTTCCCATGCAGCCCCCCCGTCCCATTCCGGCACGCTACTCACACGATCCGGGGCCCCTTGGGGAGCTCAGCCTAGGGCCCCCGAGGGTGCGTTCACATGCGGGCCCCCCGTCCATTTCGGCGCACCCCTCACACGCTTCGTTGCCCAACAGGGAGCTAGACCTGCGGCTCGGGTGGGTGTGTGTTGCATGCGGCCCCCCGCCCTTTCGCACACCCCTCACACGTTTTGCCGCACCATCGGAAGTTCCACCCCAGGCCCCAGTGGGTGTGAGTCCACATCCGGCCCCCCCGCACATGTCGGCACACCCATCACACTCATCTTGGCCCCATTGGAAGCTCCCCTGAAGGCCCAGCGTATGCGTTCACATGCGGTCTCTCTGGTCTTTCCGGCACACACATACATACATCACACCGGTCCGTGGCCCCATGTGAGGCTCCACCTGAGGCCTTACTAGGTGCGTCTGCATGCGGCTCCCCACCCAGCTCGGCACACCCCTCACACGTGCCGTGGCCCTACAGGAAGCTCCACCTAAGGCCCCAGTGTGTACAGTCAACCCGCATAGCAAGGATGAGCAATTTTCCAAGGGTGCCCTTGCATCCTTCACTTTCGGCTCGTCCTTGGCCGCCTTCGCTGGCTGGCCGCGCCCCGCTCGCAAAGTTTCGACATGGCCTTCCGAGGCCCTTGCATCCTTGTCGTGCGTCCTCACTAGACGGGTCGACTGTACAGCCGGACCGAGGTAATTATAAGATCGAGGTCGGTTCGGGGAGGGTACCCCGGTGTTCTTCGTGCTTGTTGGATGTTCTTGTTCATCCTGGGGAGAGTACCTTTAGATGTTCTGTTTGTGTTCGCCGACGAAGGGTCTCATGTTCTTGGGGGGTGCTCTTCTGGCCCAGGTCCGTCTGTACATCCACATGCTGCTCCTCGCCCGTTCTGGCACACCCCTCGCACGTTCGTGGCCCACGTGGGGCGCCCAGGCAATGCCCCAGAGGGTGCGTCCCTGGGCAGCGCCCCGCTCATGTCGGCACGCCCCTCACACGCCCCGTGGACCCCCCCATGGGAGCTCGCCCTCCTTGGTGCCGCCTGCCTGCCTTGCCATACGGTCGGACCGAGGTGTCCGATCGAGGTCGGTTCGGGGAGGGCACCCTAAGTGTTCTTCGTGCTTGCTGGAGGTGTAGGTGCATCCTCGGAGAGGGCACCCTCGAGGTTCTTCAGTTTGGCCAGAGGAGGGCCGCCTGTTCTCGAAGGAGCTTCTCCTGCCCTCGGCCGGGCTGCCTCTGGGCCTGCACATCGTTGGGTCCTTTGCCGGGCTCATCTTTGTCGCCGCGGCTGGGCGCGCGAAGCTGGCCAGGGTGGTGCCCAGGAGGGGTCCCGGGGGGGGGAGGCCTCGAGCAGTCGCCGCCGACCTCGACGTCGTCGCAGCCCTGAGGGTACAATGCTCCAGCGTAGGACATCGCAGGGCGAGCTGTCGCTTCCAATCCCCGGGCTCCTGGATAAGTGGAGCCGGGTGGGAACCACCAGGAACCAAGGGCGCCCTCGAGGGCACGAAGTTATTCGCGCTTCGAGGTTCGGCTCCGATTCCCCCCCCTCATCCTCCTCTTCTCCCCTGGGAGGCGGCGCGAGAGCGCGAAGAGGAAGAGGAAGAGGAAGAGGAGACGGAGGAGGAGGAGGAGGAGGAGGAGGAGGAGGAGGAGGAGGAGGAGGAGGAGGAGGAGGAGGAGGAGGAGGAGGAGGAGGAGGAGGAGGGGGGGGAGCCCCTGGAACCACTGGGAGCTCGCCGGCTGCACCCCGCGAGGGCCGGGGAGGCGCCGCCGTGGAGCGGTCCCCGTTCCCGACGTGCCCCCGAATTCTCGAGGCTCCCCGCCCCATGGGGAGGCCGCCCCGCTCGTGCCACCCGCCGAGGGAAGTTCGCTTCCACTCCTCCTCCTGCTCCTGCTCCTCCTCCTCCGCCTCCTCCTCCTCCTCCTTCTCCCTCTCCTCCTTCTCCTTCTCCTCCTGCTCCTCCTCTTCCTGCTCCTCCTCCTCCTCCTGCTCCTCCTCCTCCTGCTCCCTCCTGCTCCTCCTCCTCCTCTCTCCTCCTCTCCTCCTCCTGCTCCTCCTCCTCCTCCT